CTAAATGCTGGAAATGCTATGTTTTTGCAGCTGCAAATATTTGCCCATTGTTGTGATCTTGTAAACATTTATATGCCCATTTAGCAAAATTATTTATGTTATTCAGCTGAAGTCAAGTACAAATTCTGATGCATGATGAAAAGAGGCACTCATGTTTATTTAAAAATTGCTGTTGAGAAGATGATTCTAGCTTCTCTTGCCCATTTGAAGTGTATTTCAAACATTATTTTCAAATGTATACGATGGATTAGAATGCATTTGTAGTAGGGTAGCAACTCCCTGTGGTTTCTTGCAGACCAAAGTTTGTGTACTTTGTACAATTTCATACTTTGCATGCACACTTTACAGTTCTAAAAGTCATAGGTAGACCTCAGGGGAATTTTTTCTTTTGCAAAAACTGTATAATGTTCCTAACTTTAGGGAAGATGCTCATTTGTACCAAGTAGAAATAAATATGGTACATTATAGAAATGAATTGTGTTTTTCCAGTAAAACACTTAATATGTAGTAGTTTCAATAGTAATAGTACTCCCACTCTATAAACTCATTCTGTAAAATCAAAAATCACCAAATAATGTATTTTATTGTGCAACATTCTTTGCATATCACGCTAAAGACATTTTGTGGTTTTGGACTCAAGAGTAGCTGGCTCTTTATGAAGGCATATGAATAATACATCTACAAATACTAGATGCTGCCTATTTATTTTAGAGAAGTATATTAATGATTCAATTATAATTAGTATATAGGATGACTAATGCCATATGTAACAGTGTTTAATGAACCCCTACGGTAATTACAGTGGAGATTATAACGAAAAGGACAACACAGGAAGTCACAAAACAGAAGAGACTTTGAGGCTCATGAAGTGGTGAAAATTTCTACTCTAGTGCAGCCTACTGAATGAACAGCATGTAAAAATCCTCCTAACACCAAAAAGCAGTAAAATCTGTAGGCTTTTTTTATCTCCCACCAGATTTGGAAGCTTAGGTTTCTTTTTAGATGAGCTTGGTGATAACACGCAGACAAGATGCTGTTCTAGGAAATATAAAGAATAGGCTTGAAGAGGAGGGACATATTATATGTTCTTTTCTTTTTCTTCTTAAAAAGTGTGCACTGTCATAATTTTCTTTGTCTTCTTATTTTATTCATTATACATTGGGCATTCTGGGCTTATTTTTTTTCCTATATTTAGCCCAACCTATGTCCATGTCTTGCCACCCTTTGTACCTGTAATTCTGGTTTTATTACTCTAGGAAGTATCTATTTATTGGTGCTGAAATTCTAGTAAACCTCTTAATGCCTAAGACTGTTTCTGCTGTAAAGCGCTCGTATAAATGCTTCAAAAAAGTATCCGCTCAAATATCGTGATACTGATCATTGATAAAGACCTTGTAGTTTACCGTGAAACTGTAATAACTTGATTGGCCTGTACCTGTACTTGCATGGCTTTTAGTGCAGTTGAGGGTAAAATGCTGCTGTTTGCATCTTCCATGCTTTATATTATTACTGCTGTCACCAATGAAACGGTCATGAGATGTTATTACCTGTGGGATAAGCTTAGTGGAGGAGTTTGGCATATGTTCTGTACAGCAGAGAAGTTTGTGCAAACATCATTATTATTTTAAGATTAATGTAAATGGTCTTTCAAGTATCTTGTTTCATATACTGACAAGCTAAAAGGAACTACTGGGAGAGAATATTCTTCTCACCCGGTCTGAGACATTTACAGTGGAGATTTCTAGAACTTAATGTAGATCTCCCAGGACCCTTTACCATCATTAGAGAGGAACTGGTGACTTTGGGGCATGCTCCTATATGTTCCTTCCCCCACAAAGTGGATTTAATCGCTTCACTACAAAACGTGCTCCTTTAGTCTTTCTCTCTGACCCAAACCTTCTCCCAGACTGGAGATTAAGTTGTGCATAAGCCTTGGGCTGTCGTTCTGCACCACAGAGAATGTTAAAAGTAAATCTTGTTTACTGTTTGCCTTTATCTCTCTTGGTGTGGTGTGCCTCTTGGCGCTCAGAATGGCAATTATTAGAAATTTGCTCCCAGTAATGAATACAGTGTTAACTCAAGGTTAGTGCCAAGCCGAGTGACAAGTACGCTTGCCTTTTTGCTTGCTACTTTTTTGTTGGCATCTGAGAAAGATGGTTACATACTTGTGGTGTTCAGTTTGTGTTAAAATTGTAAACAGCCAGTTTGAAATTTGGTAAGCTGTCTGGGGGGGCTAAGGCATGACTATAATATATGCAGGATGAAAATACATAACTCAGCTCTGGCAACATTCTTTGAAGGAAATTTAATACATCATCTTTGTTGTATGTAAGATCTGTTTTGTTAAAAATAGAGCAAAGGTATAATAGGATTTGATCACCCTGACGGGAACATTGTAAAGAAAGGGCCGGGCACTAAACCATTGATGTTTAAATCAGGGGAAAAGCTAGTTAGCTTCCCTGACATTAAGGGAATGAATTTTTAGAATGCTGTTCATTGATATCTGACAAACAGCTTGAAAGGGATGCCAAACCCTCAGGGTTTGTGTCAGGAGCCTTAGAACACATTTGCATATTTTTTGCATAGAAACAGGAGCTCTCTCTTTCTCTTGCCAAACTGCAGAACTAAAAGGATGCAAAAACTCTATCTAGTCCAAAGGGCTCTGAGGAGGAACTTAATCAGAATTCAATTGTGTGCAACAGATTAGGAAAATTACTTCAAATGGGATTTCAACCATATCCAAGGGAGACACAGAAATCCTGAACAGATTGGTAGGCAAAATGCTACCTGCACTGCCATTAAATAGCTTGTTTTCTTCTTTAGGCATTTCTCATGTAAAAAATAGCTCAGTGACGTCAACTGATGGCACAGATTATTGTTTAAGGTGCTACTACTTAATTCTCTTGATATCAAATGCAGTTTTTTTCTGAGAGTTTTGATTTTCTCAAGTTGAAATCAATACTATCATGAATAGGATGATAGTGATGGAGGAATAAAGAAATGATGGTCCCCCATATGCAGCCAGTGTACCCAGTGGTCCTGTTTGTTGGCATCTGAATGTCTTTCCTAGCTATACCATTTACTGTCAGTTGTTGTGGATTAAACCAGGAGTCCCTGAGCCTTGAAAGGACTGCAGGGTGCCTTGCCAGCATGGGCAACTCTGCTGAAGTACAGAATCTGTGACAGTGTGAGCTGGAGTTTGAGCTGGACTGGTTTAACTCCTGTTGGTAGGAGTTTGACTGGGAAATGTTAGCATCCATGGTATGGTTCACACACAGATACAGCTGTGCTGACCCATCTGGTATCACTCATGCTGCTCTTATGCCTGTCCTTTTCACTGAATGGTTTCCTTGTTTGAATCCAAATGTTACTCTGTTCTTTCATTAAAGGAAAATGCTTGCAAAGAAAAGAAAGCATTTGGGGCCAAGACTGCACTTAACATGCAGGTGATATTGTGTTGGCAATATCTTCTACATCATGAACTAACTATACTTGTGTCATTTTGAGGAGGAAGATGATGACTGCAGAGAAATTCATAATGGGTGAAAGTGTCATGTAATTTTTAGCATATAGTTTTACTCTCTGGTCATCCACCCACCCAGGCATATGTGGGTGGAGTTCTCATTATATTAACAGAGAGCTGACTTTTAAATTTCCCATGGATCAAGTGAACAATAGACTTCCATTGCGTACACATGGCAGTGATATTGATCTGATTGATTTTGAGTTGCAGCGGTGGATGTGGTCAGTAATGTGTGAATAGGAAAGGCACAGTTAACTCTTTTCATGAAATTTTATATTAGCCAAACCTGTCTTTGAAATAAAGTTGTAATAAGAAAAGCTGTACTGATGCAGTTAGATTACAGTTTACAGTGATTATGATGTTAGAAAATGAGAAAATTACCTGTGACTTAAGTTATGGATTTGTGCAACACTGGTGGGGTTTTAAAATTTTGGAAAAAGATTGGTATCATATCTTCTTTAAAGAACTGGCTTTTTCTCTGCATGGTGTAACTTTTTATCTCCTTACCCTTCATTTTCAAGGCTCACATACAGCAGCATAGGCTGGAAATTTTCAACACAGAGTATGTGGGGCTTCACATCAACATCCTACAGAGTAATGGTTTTAAAGGGAGGAGGAGGCCTTTCAGTAGCTCAGAAGAAATGTTTTTGCCAAATTTGTGTGGTTACAGTCAAGTCAGGAGTATCAGGCATGTTTCCTGCCTCTTGGAAAAATGAACATGAGACTGTTGGCAGAACAAGGAGACGCTCGGATCTGCTGGGTTGCCTGGTTTTGTGCCTTGTCTGCAGCTTCTTGGGGGAGTGGCCCAGCTTTCCCTGGAGAGGGCAAAGGGTATTCCTGTGCAGGATAGGCCATAGCTTGGTGAGAGTGCTCGTTGGAGGTGTGAATGTGTGAAGGATACTGTGACTGAGCTGATGGTCTGTCTGGGACTGTACGGGTGGAATGGGGAATCCTGCATGGCAGCCATGCAAGGCACCTGCAGAAGCAAAAGCTATCACATTTCCACTTTTTGCAAGTAAAATTATTACTTGTTTAAGATGCATGGGACTGTTTGGGGCAGATCTTTTTCTCCTGCTTAAAACTGAAATCTCTTTTAGGATCTGAGTTCTACAGTCTGGCAGAGCTTCTAAAGATGATGAAATCAAAAGACTTTTGCTTTGGTGTATAGAAGCATTAAAGCCTTATTTTGAACAGCAATGGGTTTGTTTCACAAAGGTAGTTTTCTAATAAAGGTAATTTGAAAATATATTCCACGTTTGGTGATATTCTGGTCTCATTTCTTGAAATAAAAATTGCGAAGAAAATATTCCATTTTTTACAATGTCAGTATAGTCTAAGCACCAGAGTTTGTATAGAAATATATCTGTAGACATTTTAGAAGCACCATTTTTAATATTATTACCTTTTTTTTTTTTTCAGTAAATAGGGAAACTGTTTAATTCTGTTTTCACCTTGATTTCCATACTTTTGTTTCCAGCGGAGTCAAAATGTCAGACAAAAGTGATTTAAAAGCAGAACTTGAGCGCAAAAAGCAACGTTTGGCTCAGATAAGAGAAGAAAAGAAACGGAAGGAAGAAGAAAGGAAGAAGAAAGAGGTAAATTTGCAAAACCACCTTTTAGATAGCTCGTGCTTGAAGAAGGAGCTTGTTGGGGTTTTGACATCTAAGTATTGCATAGCCCAAGGTATCTGTCATGTGGAATGAGATCCTTAAACCCACATCAGACTAGCCTTAAAATCAAAATGCTTATTTTTAGTCAAGAATGTTGGGGTGAGGGAATTGCTTTTAAAACCATGGCACTGTCAGGTGACAACAGTTTAGACAACATGATGTGTATGTGTGTGTAGAAAGAAAAATTGATTTGCCACAATGCTTTTTCCTGGGCTCTCCTTCAATGGAAAGGGAGTGGAGAGTGGGGAAAGACAGAAAGAGGCCTCACATTTTTTCAAGCCATCACAACCTAAATATGTATTTTTGTACTCTGAAGACTAGTTTGATTACTAGCTAAGGTAACAGATTTACAATTATTATTCTCCAGTAAAGTAAAACATAATTGCAATTGCATTTTCGTCTTCTGGCATGGTTGCATCTTTCAGTTCTGTTAAAGTTTGATTGACATATTAGTTTATTTGTCCTTGACAATATGCATTAGGTTTTTCATTAAGGGATTTGTACTTCTTTTTGTTCAGTCACTTAGTGGAATAGAGGTGAGAATTGACAGGGAGTGGATATTAATTTTCATGCAAAGTCAGAGAAGCATTAAGTGATTATGCTTCCTTTCCTTCAAATGTCAACACTTACTATAGTTTAAAGCACCTGTTATCCTTTACTAATAACTGGTTTCCTTTTAAACTGACACTTTAATATTGTACATGAATTTCATGGAATTATCGTGGAAATGTGATGTGATCCAAGAAATCAGTATTCTAGTTTTGGCTGTCTTTTTAATCTTTTTTCATTTGAGCCACATTTGTGCAGTTACCAGCACACGCCCCACTGAGGCTCCTGGAGCCACTGGGGTAGTTGTTGATAAGCAGAACTCTAAATGGTAACGTTTTCAGTGTTCATTACTAAAGAATTAGAGGGAAGGAAGCCAAGGTAATGGCTCAAGGGAGCTATTAAGTCCTTTCCTTTTTTCCCTGACTCTGATTTTATGCCTTGTGGAGATCTTGTGGTGGTTGGAACTTTCCATTGTCCCCGATAGCCAGATCCAGCTTGTCTCAGGACACCCAGCTCTACAGATAATGCTGCAGTGAGTAATTGTGGAGCTGTAAATGGGCTGCACTATGATGCCATCCAGGAGTGATGGCTGACACTCACTGAGGTGCTTAGCCATACACAGTGGTGCAGGAGAGTTGTCTACAGCCCTGCATACTGTGAGACAGTTCATGTGAAGAGCTGAGCACAGGAATATGCCTGAACTTTGTAAAAGCAATGTGCTTTCTGGCTGTGCCCAAACTGAAGAACATGGGATTCTTTTGAACTTCAAGGTTTTTTGTTGTGCTTGCAATAACATCAGCATCAGTCTGAGGCACTGTGTGAGTCCCCTTTGCCCTACATTCTGGTAGCAGCAGAAAAGAAAACCTTTTCGAGCAATTCTGGCTGATGCAGATGCTTCTCCTGCTGTTAGATGCCAGTAGATCAGAGAGGGAGAAGGCTAATGTGTGGAAGATCCAAGGAGGCATAGATATCTAAGATGAAAGGGAGGGGTCTTGTGGACCTTTAGTTTTGGCTGTTGGTGACAAAGGCTGCCAAAGTCCTAGTTTAGAGATGTTAGTTCTTTCCTTTGCTCCTGTTAGATGTTGAAGTTTATGAGAAAGTACTTTTTTCCCCAACAAGTGCTTTGGACCAAATGTAGGACCTTCAGCTACATTGCTCAAGTCCAGTGAAATTTTACTCTTGATCCTGGAGTAAGTAGGAAGAGGCCAGTTTTATTTGGGGTAATGATATCTATTATTCTATGGTCAGCTTTTATATTAGCTGAATAAGTTGTTTCTGATGAGTGAGAGACAGAAAATTTCTGTCATTGTCCTGTAAAAATCCTTGCAAATGTCCTTGCAGAGATGGTTTTACCATGCATTCAGGGGAAAATACCATTGCTGATATACACAGTATAAATTATTGAACTTAAAAATTACCTAAATGTATCAAAATTAATTTCAAAGTGTACCTAAGCAATGGTGCACACAAATATTTTCGGCACATACAATTGCTAGAGCTAATTATATGTGAAATTAAGTTTTCTGTTTTCTTCTATTTTAATTCAGGCTGATCTACAGCAAAAGAAGGAGCCAGCTCAGGAAGATTCTGACCTAGACCGTAAAAGAAGAGAGACAGAAGCTTTGTTACAGAGCATTGGTATATCCCCAGAACCACCTCTAGGTATTTAAGAGAAGAACACTGTAAAGCATTCAGCTCTGCCACTATGAATGCATTCTTTCTACTAAAGCATGCTTGGCTTTTTTAAGTTTTGGCTGTATTAGTGAAGTGAACTCTTCTGTTTGAATGCCTGCCATACCATTCACATATACAAGCTCATGGCATTATGAGTACTTGTCATTGCCAAAAACATCTGTTTCATTTCTTCAAGAAATTTTTGTGAACATAATGCAGGTTGGTTTTGCATACCAGCAGTGATTTCTTTTCTGATGGACTGTGTTATCTTCTCTCACATCTCTCTGATGACCCAAAAACATTATGATAAATACTGTACTTCATTAGCCCCAAGTTTTGTTTCAAAAATTCAGATTAATCATTTGTTAGGAAGGAGGAGCATAGTTATGTGGGAATTTCACTGATTTTCTTTTAAAATCAAGCAAAACCGGAGAAGGGAAATAAAAAAAAATAAACAACCACAAATAACAAAATGCCTATCAGCAAGACACTATTGTAGATTTTACCTCTGGTTTCATGTGGTCAAGCTCTTTTTTGGTTTTGATGTTTAATTTCTAGAATCTGAAGTCCTCAATTTAAAAATACATTTAGTATCAAGTCATGGTTAGGTTAATTTTATACATAATAAAATATGTTTTCTTGAATTATATAATGATATAAAATCAGATACATTTTTAATGTCTGGTGTTTAAAATACTCATTTTTATCTAAGAATGAATATATATGTCCTTATCATTTTATGAACTAAACACATATATTCATGTTGCAAATTATCAATTCTTATCTTAATTATTTTATGTTTAATACTGGCAAAAGAACATGATAATTCACATGTAAGATGATTCCTTTTAGTTAAAAATAGTATTTTGTTCTCTTTCATTCCCTGTATATACACTCAAAATTAATATACAAAGGAGGCTTTACTTCTACTTTCACATATGACACCAGGGCTCATTGTGAATATGGAATACATAAACATCCAGACATACCTGAAAGCTGCCAAAGGGCTTTAATGAAGATGAATTCGCTTTTCATGCTGCTAGTAAGAATCTGCATTAAATGTTTGACCACATGGAAAATCCAAATCTCTTGACAGGTCTGTCATTATACATTATAAAGCATAACAAAGTACTTTAAAGTTTTACTCCATTAAATCTATAATAGGAAATATGCATGATTTAAACCAAATGGGAAACTTTGCTTTTGCATTAAACCCCCTTTTTGTGTTTATTCAGTGTGGCTGCTTTGAGGAATACTTGCACTAAGTGTTGACCGAAGCTATCTCTGCATTTTTAATATTTTTGAGAAACCATTTTAAAAGAAATCAGAATATTTTTACTCATTTATTATTTCCTTGCTGAAGAGCTTTAACTTGGGCTGACCCTGAGCTATGAACTTCCTTTCCTGTTTCAGGAAACAAAACTGCCTTTGCATGAAATATGCTTCAAAAGCCCTGGCAAGCCAAAGAGATTATCATTTCAAGAGCTTGGGCAAATAGTGTCTAAACCAAGGGAAACTTTTCCTTGAGTGTTGAAATCATGTCCCACCCAAAATGGAAATTTTGTATGACCTACCTTACATAACACAATCACTAACCAAACTAATACGTATTCTCACGTCTTTGGGAAATGATTTTAACTTAGCTGGATTTCCTTATTTAGCTTTTATTTTTTATGTCATTTCCACACTGCAGCCTTAGAGCATATGTAGTGAACACTGGCTTTTGATTTGAATTCAGAATTTGAAACGTATGCTTGTTCTTTTACCTACTTGACTTTACCAGAAGAGTTCACTTAGTTTTTTGACAAGACAAGCCCCTGACATTTCTTCTGACATACCTTTAAAATCTTTTGCCAGTCAACTTCAAACCAGACCCAAGAAAACAAGTGGTGTTTTATTTCCACAGAAATCTTCTCCATTGATTAGCTGTAGATTTCCATTGGGCTTTCAGTCCTGTCTAAATACATGTCAGTTTTAACACTTCCAGGAGACTTAAAATTCACTTGACTCTCTTCCTTTTCTTTTTCTTTCCTTCCTTATTTACTTTCACCATTTCAAACTCTCCTACTCATTCATCCACTGTCGTTTTGGTCCATCGGTTTTGATTTGTCTGACACTGCTCTTCATCAGTGCAGTCGCTGCATGTGTTAACATGGGATACCTGTTATTTTCATTATTTAGTCCCAACCCCTATGTCTCCCTCTTCGAAATCAGTGAGCACACCCAGTGATGCAGGCAGCCAGGACTCAGGGGATCTGGGACCCATAGGAAGGTAAGACAAAGAGTCAATAGAATTGAATAAATGTGGTTTTTTTCACTTCGCTCTAATTTCCCCATTTCTTCCTTTTCTTCTGTAAATATGAACATGCTGTATCAAATGTGTACTTATGTGTCTGCATTTTCCACTGTGTGTTACCATCCGGGAAGACTGGTCTCAGATATGAGGTAAATAGATATATGCAGCAAGTGGATCTTAAGCTATGAGCCCCAAACCTCATAGTGGAAGCAAAAGCTCCACTTCTTACCCTTCTAAAATGGCCCACAGAAAGCTCTCATTCTGTGTGGAAACACACTAAAACCAGGGGCAAGAGTCTAGATGTAGAACCTATTATTTATGTTGAGTTATCTTTGTTCAGATAAGCAGTCCCCTTGGAAGTTCTCCCCCATGTAACACCAGGTTGCCTCAGGTTCCTGTGGCTGCTCATCACAACGTGTGGCAGGGAGGAGCTTGGACAGGAACAGGCTGAGACATCCCAGGACCCACTGGCAATTGTGCTTTGGAAACTCTGGATACTGGAGAGTTTCATACAGAACGGGAGGGAAGCAACTCTCTTCTTGTTGGAAAGGGACAGTGGTATGTGTGTGAGGGATGGTAACGAGCAATCATCTTCTTATCTTTGTCTGCATGACTTAAATAGAAAATCCCAAAATTCCTACTCTGGAGCAGAAAAGAAAGGAGGATGCTGCTGGTAAAGGAGCATATGTTCAAGTAAGAAGAAGTGCAAGCAGCTATACTGTATATTTTGAGAAATGTGAATCATGGGTCCTAATAGCTCTTTTTGTATCAAACTAATTCAACATAGAGCTGCCAGCACATCCAAATCTGTGAGCCAAGACTCTGCTAATGGTTTGAAAACACAGTGATTGCTTTCTGCAGTTAACAGTGCTCAGTAGACATCATAACTCTAACAGACATAAACTGTAACATGACAGAACTTTGGTTCACCAGATTTCATGCCACACCAACCTTCTGCTTAGAAAAATCACACTTCTCTAAGCTGAAAGTGTGTTGTGTCCCCTTCAGCTGGATGCAGATATCGTCCGTTGTGATGTGGAGGCTGCGCATCTGCTACTAAAATTGGCTCAGCCTTGCTCCCACGTCTATCCTCTTGAAGAAATGGAGGTTGTTAAGTGGGAAAGCCCTAGCCTGTAAGATGTAACAGTTCAAAACACAGAAAAGTAATGCTGCCTTCATAAGTAAATGCAGTAGATTTCAGCAAATCAAAGTGCTTTGACTAGAACAAAAATTGTTTTAAAGCGAAGTATATCCTGCTGTTCAGGATGAAGTTATTTCCCACAGTCCTATGTAAAACTGTAACACAGCTGGGTGGAGACTTCTGAATTTCTGGTTTTCCTCTGAATCTTAATGGTGTAACTTTTTTACTGTTAAGGTAGCGAAATGCTCTTGGAAGGATTTATTTTGCTGTGACCTATGCTAGCACTTTGGCTGTCTGTCAGCAACAAGCAATGAAAGAACATGACCATGTGTCCTTTCAGAGGAGAATGGAGTTTGTCCTCTTCTTCAGACCTTATGACATACTGCATTGTGGGCTTTTATTTTGGATCCATTTTTTGTCTTATTGTGGCCATACAAGGAATTCTATGGGAATCCTAAGACCTTGCTTGTAGTCCACCAGTTTTCTTGGCATCCTCTCAGGTATTGAAAGGGCTGTGCCATGTGCCAGGGTGGCTGCTTGCAGGTGTTTGCCTGGAGCAATTGGTTTTTGCCAATGGAAATATGATAATGTCTGGTCCAGGCCCTGGGGAATGACTGTAACTAGTGGATAGTGCTGGGTGGCAATTAGTCAGATTAGTATCACTGGATGCAGGTAGATGCACTCACTGTTTGTGCATTTATGATAGAGCAGTCAGCTTGGAGAGGAAGATGCTGATAGACCTGTCATCACAGCAGGTAAACAAGAGGAAATCATCTCAGCTGTTTTCTCTGAGAGATGCCTAGACTGTATTACTTTAACTACTGCATATGTTAATGCCTGTTTATTTGTATAGACAAAGTTGTCCTTCATTTTAATGTGTCCTTCTATTTCAAACTCTATGGTAGAGAGGCCACTTCTGCTGGATCCCCTGGCATGCCATCATGCTTGTTAGATCTTTTGCTTTTCCTCTGTCTGCTGTGAATTTTCTGTACTAGGCTGAGCTCAGGCTTTAGAGGAGAGCAGATTAGTTTCAAAGCTGCTAATGCCCCAATCTCTGCGATCACAGCTTGTCTGTCATTGTTGCTGCTAACACTGCTGCAGAAATGACGAGCTCACATAGCCTGGCAGAAATCCTGCTTGCAATCTGATTACTCATTGCTGAAGCGTTCACCAGAAGAAGATACGGATATTAAAAAAAAAAAAAAAAAAAGCTGTGAAGTCACAGATTTTGGCTCACTACATGGGAGAGGCTCTGTTGAAAGCTTTGAAGAATGCAAGAGATCTTCATACGTTCCCATATGAGGGAGCAGGTTCTGTTGCAGAACTAAATTGTGTTCATACTTCCTTGAATTGTTAGTACTTCTGGTAGTTGTCAGATTTAATCTATTGGTCCCAATATCATCTGAGGTATGCTTTGATCAGCAAACACCTGTGATTCTTTATGTAACAGTGAATGTAGTTCAGCCAGAAACCCAGGTTCCTGACATCTGCTTTTTAGGAAGGACAATTGATAAACTGGAAAGTTGGAACAGTGTTATGTAGTTGTAGTCCTGGAGACACACCTCACTCAGTCTTACTTTGCAAGATGAAAACTGACTGGTAACTTGCTCACCAAGTGTAATAGTCATATGGGGAGGAAACAAACTCTGGAAGGCAAGGTATAAGAGAAGCAATGTGTTTGGTATTGAAACTGGACAAATGCAAAGCCAGAAAAACTCTGTAAAATTTAAAGTGAGACAAATTATTCTCTAAAGCAATTTACCTAAAGACTGTATTGGATCTTCTCTCATTGCCTGTTGCTCATTCAGGATAATGTGCCTACCAAATAGGCAGATACTAGGTCAAACAATAACTCATTCATAAAAGTCATGCAGTTCTTTTGTTGCACAGGAAGAAAAGCTGCATGGTCACAATGGTCCCTTCTGCCATGTGACCTATAGACTAGTAGTGCTGCTGTCCTGCAGGGCCATTGTCCATTATCTCCTGCACAACAGCCAGAGCAGTGTTGTCTTTTCCCTGGTGCCATTCAGCTTCTTAGGGGATGGTATGAGGTGGACTGTGTAATAGCACTAAGTTATTGCACTAAGCATTTCTGTCTTGCACAGCCCAGGTTTCCATGGGGTTTTTTAGCTGCTTGACATTTAGTACTATTTTGCTATTTGTCATAACCTTTTCACAGGGCATAACACTGGGTTTCAGCAGCATTCCAGCTTCCCTCTGAGCCGTGATGGTAACTGTAAGAATAAGCAGATTTCAGATGAGTAACAGTTCTAGAAATTCCTGACTGAATGCTTTCAGCTGGACAGGAGAGCCAAATATTTTTTCAAAAATTTTTTTGTGGTCTTGAGGATCATTTCTGGGTAGGTAGAGGTGTGTCATACTTTGATTCTGGTGCTGCTCTTAGTTATCAGGCTGCACTGAACAGTTCATAGGAGCCCAGCTGTTGCTCAGAGAGCAATTGGCCTATCTCCACATTGCTTTGCACATCACACTTTGTTTTTCTGATGCCTGTGTTTTTTGTGCTACACAGATAGAACAGGAAAATTACAACATAGCCTGACCTGTCTCTGAATACATGGGTTATTGGTTCACAGGGCTTTCTGTTATTCAGACACGACTCATTTTCCACAAGACAATGTTGCAGGATTCCATGAAGATCTCCTTGGAATAGAGTATGCTTGACTCTTTCTGGATAAGTATTTTGCTTTGTTTAGTATTTTGTAAGCATTTTGATGATTCCCAGTGTCATATTGCTGATAGTCAGCTTATACAGATGTGCACAACTGAAATGTAGACTGGAATACATGTGAAGAAAAGGGCTGAGATAAAGGCATTTGCCAAGAGCTCCTGTGCTGTAGCATGGTGCGAAACACAAATTTGCCTCTTCAGGACTATTTATATGGAACTTCTTCATGATAACTGTATACATCTCCCTAGTGAATACTCTGAACTTTTGCTACCATAGTATGCCAGAGATGATAATAGCTATTGTATTAGAGCCATCACAAAACAGTGCCCACAGAGAGGCATGTTTTACTACTCACTATACCTTAGGCATTCATAACTCTCATCTTCTCAGCACTCTCAGCCATGAACTCCAGGTTTGTGTCATCTGAGGAAGGGTACAAGGACAAACCTTGTACAGTGCCTCAAAGCCAGGCAGCACAATACTAGGTTTTGTGGGCTGAGCAGCTCCCTGGAAAGGATGTCCTGGCACAGGTGGGGCCAGAGTACTAGAGTCGCTCTGTACTTTGCATGTCAGCTCAACATTAGATAGAAGAAATACACCTGTGCTGGAAGGATGTGCTTCTGTGGCTGGGTAGCTTTCAGTGCTAGGACAAGCCTGTGTTGGTATGTATTCCTGTATTACCTGCATCTTGTCATGTGTTCACCCTGTCATATGTTCACCCTGTTCACTGGCATGTGGCACACTTGGAGTATTTCCATTTGTGGATCAAGGTGTGATTTATCTGTGTGGTCCATTTTGCCCTGCATCCTTCACTGCTCCTGTATGTTCCTAGCTGGAAACATCCTATATGTTCCCAGATAGCTTCAGCATCCTACAGTGGTGTGTTTGCACAGTAGCATCCTATTTATTGTTGAGCTGAATTCTGTGTGCGTATGTGCAGTGGAGTGCCCTGCGTGCAGCACTTCCCCCTGTGCACTGTGGGACATGAGAATCCCATTAGGCTGGGTGTAAGGTTTCCCACCTTCCATCTGCTCAGTGAACTGCACCAGGCTCAGCTGTCTTGGACATGTAAAGGTTAATGGTTGCCCTTCTTTCTGCAACAGTTTCATCTGTGCTCTTTTGCTTTCTAACTTGTGTATTTTGCTGCCTGAATGTTTAGATACCTTGTGGGTTCCCATGAAGACAAAGACATAGGAAACACTTTTCATCTTCTGGTGGCTTCTTTCAGAGGATGGTTGATTCAATGTGGTATTTTATCTGCTGTAAAATAATGCAAGGTGGATTATTTTGTACTATTTCTCTCACAGTCCATTGGTTTGTTTGGGTTTGTCTGGCTACAGCTACTCACTCTATAATTACGGTTCTTATTTGGGTTAGGGCATTATGTAATACTTAGTTTAAATGGTTCATACCCGAATTATGTTGTCATTTGTTTGATATCATAGATTTTGAGATGTGCTTTATGCACTGATACCTATTAGCTTCCTTCAGTGTATGAAGTTTACTTACAGTGAAGCAGGGTCAGTCCTTCTTTAGATGAAACTAAATATTTAATGAAAATTCCTGTGAGAATGAGTTTGAGCATAGCATTAGGTAGCAAAGAAAACAAAAAATAAAGGGAAATTGGATTTCTGAAAGAGATTCTGTGGCAGTAATATGCTGGAGAAGATAGACCACTCTAGAATCCTGATAATCTCATCATCACTAATTTTCTAATTCTACGTAAAAAACACTACATGAGCAATCCTAGAAATAGAACAGCTGTCTGTAATGCTGGAGGACTTTTCTCTGAGGAGCAGTATTGCCTTTGGCTATGGCTCTTGGCATAATTTTTTGTCCACTCTGTCAGTTCCTCCTGCAGTTACTGTGACCTCTGAATGTTCCCAGTTGTATTCCAGAGAACATAGTAGCAGCTGTCATATTAGGTTCGATGTCTTTATTGATAGGGAGTTGAGAGCATATCTTCTTCTCTCCTCTTCTATTTTGAAGTTTGCTGCCACTATTAGTCTGCATTCATGTATGTTTTCATCATATCTGATGCTGAGTTGCTGCCATTTACCATGGCCACTTTGAGCCATTTAGTTATAAAAAGGATATGTTTTCTTTCGTAGTATTGATGTTCACCTCCAGTTTGTATTGGCCCAGAGCAGGGAGAAAGAGGTGTTATTCCAGTCCTTTTTCTCCACAGCTTCTTGTTGACTCACTTTTTTATAGTTATTCGGTGTTCTGCTTTATAATGCAGCATCTAAACAATCCTACATTGCTTCATGTGTGACTCTCAGCCACAAACACTTCTTGCTTCTCAGATGATACACAATCAAAAGGGAAGAGGTAGCTCTCAAGCATCTGTGCACCAAGTGAAATCAAAGCATGTCATTATTTTACAATTTTGTATTTAATCTTGCCATCGGTTGAGATTAAAAAAAAAAAAGCATCTCTATTCCAGTGTGTTCTTACTACATATTATTTTAAATCAAAAAGCTACTTTTTGTTTGCTGATCTCTCATGAGTGTATCTAAATGTCACCAAAGTCTTTAGGTTCTATGCTTTTTAGGGTTTTTGCCTGAAAAATCAGAATTGGCAACTCAGCTTTTGTTTTCAGTGTTTTATTTTTAAACAGTTCCTTCCCTAGAACAGTAATATAATACATTGACAAGCTGAAGAAAGGGTATCAGAATGCCATTCTCCGTTTTAAATGCCTGCTTTCCTCTTTATATAGACAGATAAAGAAGGCAAAGGAAGAAGGTGGATCTTGATCGCCATTTAATTTATACAGGAAGGTTGGATTATTGTAGTAAATGATCTTTTACAGTCCTTGCAGTGTTTTTCCTATCTTTTAGAAAACATCTCTCATAGACATTAACAAAACCACGTCCCTGTAAGATCTGCTAAAACCTCTGCTAACAGAACCATGTCGCCTCGGGCTCAGCTGCTTTATCATTAAGTAAATGCATTTGACAGGTTCTGTGCAATGATGCCGTTTCATCACTGCCACTCAGCTTTGCACGACCAGCATTTCATTGTGTTACCAGGTTCAGAAATTACAAGGATTCTTCTTCAGTTACGCCAGGACAAGTGGGCCTGTGTTGTGTTGCCTCAGGAGTAGCAGCTGTAGCAGTTATTAGTAGCAGATTATTTTCTGTATGGTGGGTTTGGTTTTTTTAAGATCAATTTATATGTACAAAATGGCTTTTAAATGCGTGCTTTAGTGGCATACTTATTTCATAAATGGGTTGAGCCAAAGGGAAGCACAGAACAATGTGAAGACTCAGAGGGAGCTTCAAGAAAAACCGAGGAAAAATAACTACTTTATGGCAAACTTCGCTTGAATGGTGTTTTATTCAGAAAAAGAATGATTGTAACCCTAGGGACTGTTGTGTAGTCTTTCACAGTGGAGAGTCATGAGAAATGTCTGCTTGGTGGCTAGAGATAAACGGGATAGCCTGTGGGATGCTGGTGTTGCCACTCTGTTTTGGTGGCATTGGGCTTGGTATGCGATGTTTACAATTATATGGTAAGACAGAGATTAGTACCACCCAGCTGTTAATTTTTTTCCCGTTTAATTTTGTCTTAGCACACATGTTTAATTTTACAGTCTTAGGGGCCAAACCATGCCTTAAGCCTTCTTAACCTGAATGGTGGTGGCATCTGTGAAGCACTGACAGCCTCACCTCCTTCCCTTGCCTAGGGTAGCTCTGGCTGTCTTTGCTGTCTTTGCCCTAGGAACTCTGCTGCTTTCTAAAGTGATGCTGCAAGTCTCTCACACTTCCCAACATCAGCCTATTTAAAGCATAGTAACAGGGGTGGCCAGTCCTCCGTACATGAGCACATTACGGGTGGCTGTGTCGAGTTGTTTGTACATCATGGCTTGCCCTGCATAGGTTAGTATACAAGGCTGGAGGATGGCAGATTTCTTATATTGTTTTCACTCCTTTTGTCCCTACAGAAGAAGAATCACAGTCCTTCTTCATATTCAATGTATATTTAGCCCTAAAGCCTCTCCCTGCCAATTTTTTAATTCTTTTTTTAGCCTATAAACAGAAGCAGACACCTTAGGGACTGATATTTGGCAGTTGCTTTCAAGTGTCTGTATATCTGACCTAGAAAGTAGGGAGTGTTTTGTGGTGTGTGCCAGTTACAAAGTCAGAATGGTCCATATTAATTAGAATCATCTTCAATCCTTTTAGCGTGCAAGCCTGTGGCATCATTAAGGATTTTCATGCTTTCATTCCTAAAGGATGGATAGAGTTCAGTCCTCCAGATCTTTGATTATTTTTCTCATTAGCAAGCATCTCCATGCTGTAAATTAAAGGAGAAGGAAAGATTGCTATTCCCAGGGTGCTTCATAAATGCCTTGGAAACCTGAGCCCCAGCTGCATCCAGAAAAAAATAATATTAATTTATAAAGCCCCACTTAACCATTTAGGTTATCAGCCCAGCTGTAGTTACTTCTCTCTAGTTATTTCTAAGCATATCATATATTTAGTCAGACAATCAGATGATTTTAGGGACTAAAACACTAATCCTCTTAAAACAAAACAACTTATTTGCTAAGGCCAGCTCAGCTTAAACAGTTCTCTTGCACAGAATTTATTCTTGATTTAATTAAATTGAGTAAGATCACCTCCAACGTTAAACCGTTTAACATAGTTAAACTGGTGCAGTTTGTGCATGGTGATGTTTTCTCCTTCTCTGGCCTATTAAAAAAACCTTTAGAAAATTCCCATTCGCAATTTTATCTGGAAAAATAAAAAGAGGCTATGAGTAGCTATTTCGTTAACTCAATTTTTAGGAATTTTCTTCAAATCTGTAAAATGGGAATTGCTGCCACTGGCAAGATATTGATAAATCTCTCTTTTTTTCTTTTTCAAGGAGTTTTGAAACAATCTAAGCATTCCATATTAAATTTTTCATAAGCAGAACTTATGAAAATGAATGATTTTCCATTTAAAACTGATTTTTATCCAGAGACTTTAGTTGTAC